GATTTGGGCGGATTTTGGGCGGGTTTGGGGGGGTTCTGGAGGACGTCTGGGGGCATTTTGGGATTTGTTTGGAGATTCTGGGTGGGATTTTGGTCTATTATGGGTTTTTTTCCCAGATTTGGGGTTTTTCCTGCATTCCGGGATCATTTGGGAGCAGATTTTCCCATTTTTTGGCAGGAAAAAGATGATCCCAACTCCAAATTCATGATGGAAAATCTGGAGCATTTTTGGGATCCTGGGTGGGATTTGGGGGCTGTTTCTGTTTTTTTAGGGCCATTTTGGGGTCAGATTTTTGGGGGGTTTCTTCCTGGATTTTGTGGTTTTCCTGGATTTCAGGATCATTTTGAGCCAAAATTCCCTACTTTTTGGCAGGAAAAGGACAACCCCAACTCCGAATTCACAATGGAAAACCTGGAATTGACCACCCTGAACCTTTTCTTTGCTGGCACTGAGACTGTGAGCTCCACCCTGCGCTTCGGCTTCCTCTACCTCATGAGGCATCCSCACATCGAGGGTGAGATCCAGACACAAATCCAGGATCCCAGAGCCCAATTCCCCATCCCAAATGCCAAAACCCCAAATCTCAAATCCCAAATCCCCAAATCCTAAACCCCAAATCCCCAAATCCCCAAATCCCATCCCATCTCATAAACCAAATCCCAAACTCCATATCCCAAGACCCCAAATCCTCCGCATTTCCAATTTCCAATCCCCCAAATCCCCAAAACCCTAAATCCCAAATCCTCCCCAGTCTCCAATTTCTAATCCCCAAAATCCCAATCCCTAAATAGCTAAATCCCTAGTCTCAAATCCCAATACCCATCCCACCCCATAACCCAAATCCTAAATCCTAAATCCCCAGTTCCCCAAATCCCAAACCCCAAATCCTCCCCAAATTCCAATTTCCAATTCTCAAAATCCCAATTCCTAGATCCCCAAATCCCAAATCCCATCCCATCATCCAAATCCTGAATCCTAAATACCAAATCCTAAATCTCAAATCCCCAATTCCCCAAATCCCAATCCCTGAATCCCCAAATCCCAAATTTCAAATCCCAAATCCCCAATTGCCCCAATTACCCCAAATCCCAAATCCCCAAAACCCCAAAACCCCAAATCCTCCCCAATATCCAAATCCCAAAATCCCAATCCCTCAATCTCCAAATCCCAATTCTCAAATCTCAAATCCCAAATCATAAACCCTATCACATCCCATAACCCAAATCCCGAACCCTAAATCCCAAATCCCCAATTCCCCAAACCCCAAATCCCAAACCCCCAAATCCCAAACCCCAAATGTTTTCCCACCCTCCCCCCAGAGAAGGTTTTCAAGGAGATCTCGGCTGTTGTGGGGTCGGGCCGGGCTCCGGCCATCGCTGACCGATCCCAAATGCCCTTCACGGAGGCCACGATCCAYGAGATCCAGCGCTGCAGCGACCTGATCCCGATGAATGTCCCACACCGCGTGACCCGGGACACGGAATTCCGGGGCTTCCTGATCCCTAGAGTGAGGGGAAAATCCTAAAGCCCAAAATTCCATTAAAAAACCTAAAAATCCCACTGAATTTCCCCTGGAATTAAAAAAAAAATCCACTGAAATTCCCCTAAAATCCCTTGAAATCCAACAGAAATGCCCTTAAAATCGCCCAGAAAACCCCCTAAAAAAAAACCCCACGTAAAATCCCCCTGAAATTCCCCTAAAAAAATCCCATAAAATCTCCAAAACCTGCCTGACTTGATCCCAATGAATGTCCCGCACTGCATGACCCAGGACATGGAATTCCAGGGCTTGTTGACCCCAAAAATGAGGGGAAAATCCTAAAGCCTGGAAATCCCTGTAAAAATCCAAGAAATCCTCATGAAATTCCCATTAAATTCAAAAAAAAAATCCCCAAAAAAAAAAAAAAAAACCTTGAAATTCCCTTAAAATCCCCCCAAATCCCCTTGAAATTCTCCTATTTAAAAAATCTTAAATAGTTTTGAAATTCCCCTAAAAACATCCCATCAAATCCCCCTGAAATTCCTCCTGAAATTCCCCTAGAAAACCCATAAAATTCCCCATAAAATTCCCCTAAAAAATCCCATAAAATCCCCCTAAAAATGACCTAAAAAAAATCTCATAAAATCCCCCTAAAAATAACCTAAAAAAATCCCATAAAATCCCCCTAAAATCCCTCTAAAAACCCTAAAATCCCCCTAAACTCCCCTGAAAAAATCTCTAAAATCACCCTGAAATCCCCCTAAAATCTTCCTAAAACCCAAAATTGCCCCTCTGACTCCACAACTGACCCTGCAGGGCACAGATGTGTACCCCCTGCTCAGCTCGGTCCTAAACGATGCCAAGTCCTTCAAAAACCCCCAAAACTTCGACCCTGGAAACTTTCTGGACGAGAAGGGCCAGTTCCAGCGCAACGAGGCCTTCTTGCCCTTCTCAGCCGGTAGGAGAAAAATCCCCTATATCTTTTTGGGATTCCCTAAATCCCTCTTGGGATCCCCTAAATTCTGTAAATCTCTTTGGAGGGAGGGGGCCCAGACCCTTTTGGGGACTCCCAGACGCTTTAGAATCCCCCTTTTGGGACCTCCCCACCCCATATGGGACCGTCACCCCTTTAGGCATCCCCCAGACCCTTTTGGGGTTTCTCCCCCATTCTGGGGGTCCCTGATACTTCCTCCCCCCTCCACAGGGAAACGGCTGTGCCTGGGGGAGGGGCTGGCGCGGATGGAGCTGTTCCTGTTCTTCACCACGATCCTACAGAACCTGCGGCTCCAACCCCTGGGACACCCCGAGGGGGTGCCCACGACCCCCCTGGAGAGTGGCTTTGCCAACATTGCCCCCCGCTATGAGCTGCGGATGCTGCCCCGCTGAGACCCCTCTCCMAATTCCCAAAATTCCCTAAAATTCCCCAAAAATTCCCCAAAATTCCCCAAAATTCCTGAAATTCCCCAAAATTCCCAATCGGAATTGCCCCCACAACCAGCGCCCCTCCCCAAAATCCCTGAAATCTTGAAATCCCCAACTGGAACCTCTCCCACTGCAAGCTGCGGATGCTGCCCTGCTGAGACCCCTCTCAAATTCCCTGAAATGCCCTGAAATTCCTGAAATTCCCGATCAGTACCCAGGAATAGAGACCAGTCTYCAAAATCCCTGTGTGAGAAATGAAGCTCACTCTCCTGGTAGAAATTGAAAAATGTAGTAAGGGACAATCGGGGACAAAGGCAATAATGCAAAATTGGCAGCGCTGGGTGCTTTAGCCATAAAGCTCCCCTGCTCACCATGGCAATACCCCTTACGTACCCTTTCTCTTGCATCAGTCAAAAACCTATTAATAAATGATTATACAGATTCAAACATTTCCCAGAGATAGTTTGCATGTTCCAGAAACTTTTAAGCACGGCCCCTCCTCTGATCCGCCTGTTTAGAGTGTGTGCACTTGTGCTTGTGGTTTTGAGGGTCATGTGTGTCCCCCTGTTCTGTGGACTCAGCAGATGACACTTGATGACAGTGGAAGTGTCTGTAGCAGGGTCTTTCATGGGCTGTGACACCCCCCGGACTGTCTATGTGGATCAGCTCATCCTGGGGTGCCAGGCCCCACAGATGAGCTCCTTTGCACAGCAGAAGATGGGCTGCCTCTGATCAGAGGCTTGGCCTCTAAATCCCCAAAGCCTCTCTCCCCGACACGTTTTGGTGTCAGGGTCTGTGCTGGTTAGGCAGCCAAGAGATCTGGCATGGTCCCCACCCCAAGGGTGCTCAGCTGTGATCCCTCGGTGAATGTGTTCTTCTTTCCAGCTCTGAGTATCTTATCTCTGATCAGTGGGCAGTGAACAGTGCAGCCAGGGTCCCATTCAGGGTTTTGATGGTTTTCTCTGCAGCTTTCGTATAGTTTTGCTATAATGTGCAAGAAGTTCTTCATGGAAATGCCTAAGTCACAAACTATAATCTTTCAGTTATTTCAAGTTAACCACAAGTAACTCTAAAACTAAATCAGCTGTTTTGAAACAATATCTGAGATACTTTAATTATTGCCAGTTAGCCACAAAAATAAAAGCATTAGTGTTTTTTTACAACTATGTCTGCATAATGAAACTACTTCTACAAAAATCAACATTATATTATAATGCACAACACATAGCATCCCCCTTAATATCTGCAAAAGCAAACACTGTAATAAGTATTTATCACAATCCCTCTTCTTTTTCATAAATCATTTGGGTTGAGCAATAATTTTTGTTTTCAATTTTCACAATTCGCTCATTTTTTTCACAAAATAATTTTGCTTCTTCAAAGGGGTCTTCTGTATTATCTCTTTAACACTATTATCTTTTGTGTCATTCTAGATGTAGCCAATTTTGGGTCCACAGACATTGTTAATACTCACATACCTTGGACTATGCTGGTGATTAGCTGAATGAAACAGGGAATCAGGCAAGGAAGAAATAATAAACCAGCTGTTGCACATAAAGGAAGAAGCCTAGCTTTTCTCACCATTCTATTCCCAATAAATTGTCCCACCAGTTAGTTTTTAGCATCAATTCCCATTTCTGGATAGGTACATGGGCAATTTTTTTAATATCCTTAGCTATATCCAGGACGGCATCCCCGTTATT